CGTGATTAAGCTGACATCACAGAAACCTGGGCAGACGTCGCAGCCAATGGGAGCTCGAGTTATTTATAGCTCCGAATTAAAGGTTCGGAGTTTGCCTAGCAACAGTGGGCAGAGAATCCCGTGAGAAGAGCCACAGGCGCTGCTCCAATAACAAAGAACAGCCAAGGCGGAAATAAAAAATAGGAGAAAACCAGGCACAGGCTGAGAAAGACAAAACTTTTCTCCGATTCTTCTTCATTGTGCAGTAGCCTACATCACTAGGGATCCGTTTGTACCAGGTCTAGAAAGCCCTTGAGATCCCCACTCTGTACCCCCTCCTTCCCCAGTGAACCTTAACATTCCTAGTAAAGCCACATCGCTAGAGATGTGCCCACGACCGAAGGACGCGCAGGGCAGAGCTTCCCTAGCAGTTCCCGAGCAAAAAGGGACACCTCTGCAAAAATCCCGACGTTGTGTGAAACCCGTCGGGAAGAGAGAACATTTAATACCCTCAGGGCCCCGTTCTCGGTCCGCAGCAGCCTTGGTATGTGGCTTCATGCTGGCCGAATGGAGACAGTGCTGGCATTTCTAAATGTATGAAGAGCAATCATCCTAACTATGGATGCACTGGTTCCATCCCAATCTCGCTTCCTGTACTGTGCCCACATTTAGTACAAATGATTTTTAATCAGTACATACCATAGCTTGCTCGATTTTGTTGTCAATAGCTACCACACTTGCACCAGAGGAGCTGGAAAAGAGGGGGGGACATCGATAAATGGTATTTTTATAACATCCAAGACAAAAAGGACTTCCCAGTTCTGTGATGTTACTAGCATCATTTTTTGAACATTCTACAACGCTATGTAATATATCACCCTCCAGAAAACACCAGCCACTCTCTTACTAACGAATATCCAGACATATACCTATTTTAGTGAGCCACAAAAGGCTAAATTACATAATGTGGTACCAGCCTGCTCTCTGGCCAGAACTGCGAAAAGAAGGCTATTCTAAACATTTCAAAAAGCAACATCCATGTCACCACAGTCTCTCGGCAATGGACAAAGGAATTCGCCTGGCTAGCTTTCACCTGCATTATTAGAAGTATCTCACGAGTAAATTTACAGAAACTATCCCAGCCGACATTTACCTATTGTCAAGTCTCACAGAGGCGTTTTCAGTCCCCAGCAAGGATGACAAGAAAGAAATTGAAAAATGTCTCAGTTGGTAAACTCCTAGATCCATCGCCACTGGTCTACACCATTGGGATTTCATGCAATTGCAGCCAAAAACACCCTCGCGGAAAAAAAAAAGGGAATACCAGCAGCCTCGTCTGAGCTAGATAAAAAAATCTTCTAGCTTTCTGCAGCCCAGGGAAAAACGGAAAACAGCAGCCTTAATTTAAAGAAACCCGGCTTCTGGGGCTTGGCGATCGGGGAAGATGCTGATCCCACCGCTGTGCAGAGAAGCCTCCCACAACAACAGCCAGGCTCCACTAAGGCTATGGACCAAGACTCGGACTCGCCGCAGAATATATGGAGGAGAGAGCCGCGCCGATTGGCCAGCACCCTATTGGCACCTCCCCTTTTCCCTTCCCCGCCCTCCTCGAGCTTCCCCGCCTTCCCTCCTCCCAACCCCCCCAACCCCCCAGCCCCCAGCCTCCCGATCGGATCCCGCTCTTCGGGTGGGCTGACCCAGGCCGCAGTGGACCCGCAGAGCTGCGGGGCTACCGAGGCCTCTACAGCCTAGGAAAGCCGGACCACTACTTCGGCGGAAAACGTCAAGGGTCCCTGAAAATACAACCGGGGCCCCGCACGTGCTTACGTTTAAGGGGAGTCAGACCCCGTCCCAGAAACCGCCTGTCCCTGAGGCTTCCCAACGGCTAAAGCTTCCTATTTGCAACCAGAACCGTCTGAGCTACTGGGCATGCCCAGTCCCACCGCTAAGACTTGGAGGAGCTCGAGCGTCTAGATTTCAATTATCTAGTTCTTACAGGCAACAGTAATGGGAGGATTTTATAGGCAGGTTTATTTATAAGGATAATAACCGTACTGTAATAACACCTTTTAAAGAGGTAGTGAATTTTGGAGGGAAAAATCACGTTTGCTTTCTGAGAAATACTACTTTTTCACGGATCTATTAAATACTCGTAGAAACAAAACAAAAAACATTACATATTCTTTGCTAGGCATATATCTATTGAAGCAAAAAGGAACCCATAAGATGACGAAATCAGGTAGATCTTCCCAAAACGTCCCTAGAGCCATAAGCCTTAAAATCACATCTTCCTCCTTCCATTTATAGCTAAAAAACTCAATCCACAGGTTGAATCCTACATCGATCTATTTTCAGTAAGTCCCTAAAGCAAGTTTTTGGAAGTGGCAATTCCTGTAAGTCTCAACCCTATGAGTTTTCTTACATCAGAAGGACTGAAGTATTATAAAGTATGTATTTCATCCTGATGGCCATACTGACCAAGTAATTCCCTTCCCCAAACCAAAATCAAGAGATCTGGGTGTAAAAATGACTAACCCATTGCTTATTTCCTCTATTAATTTAAAATATTTGCAAGGATGCATCAATTGAGGCTACAATTTAATATACTAAAAATCTAAGGCCTTAAATTTGCTTGATTATTATAAATTCTATGGTTTGCAAGTCAATAGTTAAGAAAGCAAATTTAACCTCTACAATACTGCCCTCTAATGGCACAAGCCTATAAAACCACAAAAAAACTACAAATAGTGAAGACTTCTCTAATCCATAGGCGAGCTGTACCATCACAAATAATTTCAATATAAAATTTGACCACAGAACATGATATATGTAAATAATCTATTTACACACACACATCTTTTCTCGCTCAAATGGGCATTCTCTCTCAATTTCGCATCCTTCAATCCTCAGTATCCTTTAATTTAGGACATTTTAATTGCCATCACAACCTTTCAGACATTCTTTTAAGTTGACCCAGTGCTGCCAGAGAGCATCTGGTTCTAGAAACGGTCTAAAGGAATTAGGGACCAAATCTGGCAAATGTGGTAGATGGTGACAAGGACAATGAATTCTCTTTTGGGTTGAAAACCTAAGTGTGACTAACTATAAAGCAGTAACATTCTTTTTTATTGTAAGGGTCATAATAATCTCCAAATTTTAAGCCTTTGCTTTTGAATAACAATGTTTGTTGGCATATTTGTGATTTACAAAACTTGATATATATACCATCTCAGATGAAAGAAATCTATTTGAGGAAGGCACCCATTTTCAGTAAAAAGAAACAGAGTAAGTGGAAGCTTAAAAATCAGTAATTCGGAAACCAGGGATGTGGTCCCTCTGTCTGTGAGTGCAAGACAGAATTATTATTTACTACACAGTAGTTTATATATTTTGAAAGTTAAAGTTACCACAAACTATATGTGTAATTAAAAACATTTACCTATTTTAGCTGAACCACACAGAGGACAAATTATTAAAGAAAGCATCATCTTAAACTGTAAAAAAAAAAAAAAAAGCTTAAACAAGTAAAACTCTTGAGGTCACATGAAGAAATGAATTTAAAATTCCCAGCTGAAGTGTTCTTGAACACAAACAGAAAGAAACAAGCTGGTTATGCTTCCATTTTACTTGTTTGAACAGATCACCACTGGATTAAGCTACAGAAGCCAATATAAGCCATCACAGTCTGTTTAATCCATATCTCTGCAGAGGGACATTATGGTCATCTCCAGCACTTTGCTATTTTAAATAAAATTGCAAGAAATATCTTGTATGTACATCCTTGACCCATTTGTGTATATATTTCTGGAGAATTTGCAGGGCCAGAGGATATAAACCTCCCCCACCAAATTATTAGAAATCTATTGTTTTCGTATACATAAATGTGCTAGAATTCCTTTCAAACTAGATTTTTATCTGCAAACTGGAAAGACAATTTGAAAACAAATTAACTGGAGGAAAGCTCCATGGAGGGGAAACCCATGGGTCAGAAATATCTGAGGCACAAAGTCACTAGAATTACTCTCAAAAATACTTCTCTTTGTAAGACAAAACATCTATGAGTCTGGTGCCTACTCAGAGCTCAACAAAGACTAGCTGATAGGACAGGGAAAACACTGAGGGAGCCCACTTCTCCCTCTGCCTGCCACTGCCCCTGCTTATGAGTGCTCTCCCTCTGACAAATAAATAAATAAAATCTTTTTTAAAAAAATGAAAAAAGTCCTACACCAAAGCACATCAGCATGAAAATAAAGATCACTTGGGACAGAGGAAAATCTTAAAAGCTCCCGAACAGAAAAAACAAGTTATAAACACAGGAACAAATAATCAGAATGGTTTTTGCTGGCTGCCACAGAACAATGGAGAAAATTCTGAGAGAAAACATTCTCACTTAGCCAAATTATCATGTAAGTGTAAAGGTAGAACAAAAACATTTTCAGACATTTCAGACACCAAAATGGAGGAACAAATCAGGCAAAAGGGTTGAAATTTTTAGAAATAAAGAATACTGTCTATTTCAAAAGGAAAAAGAGAGAGAAAAGGTGTAAGAAACATGAACCAGGGACTGAGATGCTGGAGAGAAGGGAGGGAATCAACAGGATGATGGGGAAGGAAATCTCAAGATGACAGCCTCTAAGCAAGCCTAAGTAGCACCTGACCTGTAAGGGTGCAGAAAGATGGGGGCCGCTCAGGGAGGGACGGCTTTGGTGGGTGGGAGTAAACAGAGAGATGATCCAATACGTCTGAGCATTTGCAGGGGGGAGGGGAGCCACAGACAGGTGTCTGACAGATCTAATGGCGCAACTGGATAAGTTCAAAGCAATTTTACAGAAAACAAAAGCAAGAAAAAAAACTAGTATGCTTATCAATAAAATTTACATAACTATATTAATTTTGAAATTTTTTATTTGTTTTAACTTTAAAAAGTTAACTGCATTGCAAAGATGGTGCGGAGAAAACCTGAGTCATAAGAATGGTTTATAAGTGCTAAATCTGAATCTACGACAGTTTGATTATAAAATATCTAAAATTTACAAAGCAAGAAATAACAGTATAAATATATTACATAGACATGTGTAGGTAAATATGAGAAAACAAAAAATTTTGGCTGCCTCTGAGGAATAGACAGGGGGACTGAAAAAAAGGAATTTATACTTATATATATTCATATATATACATTTTTTTTTCTTTAGGGATGATCTTTTGATGTGATCTTTAGGGATGTAGAAGTATTTTCCTAAAGTAAGAGAATGGGATGTGCAGAGGGTTCCTCTGCTCCCAGGCTGCAGGTGAGTACTTATCAGCACAAGCATGTGAGGAAACTACCAATGCTGGGAAAGAGCCACCCAAAAGAAGCAGGCAGAAACAATTTTTGGAAATCGCACAGGGTCAGGAATAGTTGGTGTTACCATCAGCCAGAGTAAAAACAAAACATAACAAAACAAAAAACAACTTACAAACATGGGGCACCAGATATTCAGAAGGATACTGCCAAAGTCGGGGGGAAAAATTAGTTCTAGACTAAAAGGTGTTTGGGTCTTGTGCAAAGCAGTTTTAAAGGAAGCCTTGAAGATCAAACTGTTTCCAAGTAACTTAATTTTGTCCCAAAACAAAGCTCAAGGATATTAAATAAAATAGAGTTAGCATCCAATAATTCACAGTGTCTGGCATCCAATGAAAAGTACCAGGCATACAAATGCAGGGAAATATAACAAGGAAGAAAATCAATCAAAATGACCCAGATATGACAAA